CTCATAGTTCTACAAAGCTCTCATCATGGAGGGGCTGGTTCATTCACTGCCTGTCTCGGCCACACCCTGGCATCGAGCCGGCCACAGCACATACTTCACTCGGGTAGGGAAAGACAGTTCCATTCCTTCCAAACACTTTGAGATATGCTACTCCAAAACATACGTGCATTTCATCTTATGTGAGAGACAAGCCTCTTCTGAACACTAAAATTCAAATTGCAATAAGAAAATGAATGAGGAAATTAAAAGGGACATTGTTGGTTTAAGAAAACTGTCCTGAGTCCTTTTACAAAGCAACCATTCTCTACACTGTACGCCCAATTAAGGATCTATTTAGACTATCACTTCATCCTTTTTGGAAAAAGTGGCTTGCAGTCAGTTTATAATTAACCTGGACTCCCACCCCACCCCATGCTAACCCAGCGACTTTTCTCATCCTGTGGATGACAGTAATTAATGTGTTTTTCTTCTGAAATTCTATTTTAGCTTTTCCTCTTCTAACTCCCCCTCTTTGGGATAGCGTTTCCCTTACTCTATTGAGATAACTTAAAATATGGTTTCTTTTTTCAGAGATAGTAGTGGTGTTTCCTCTGGCCCAGCCCAATCTGCAGCTTTAATCTCTGCTTACTCTAAGGGCTGCTGGGGACCGGCCTCCCACTGCGACCCAGGGAAGGAAAGCTGAGACCGCCAGCCAGTAGCTCCGGAGTGAAGGATGTTATCTCTATTTCACAGGCCAAAATAGGAGGTCGAATAGTTAAAAGTCAGAGATTCCAGGAAAGGAGGCAAATATGCTCCTTTTTTTTTTTTTTTAAATCAACATGTGTTTTTTTAAATCGTTATCACTTTAGTGATATATGATGTTTGCTTTTACATCCCAAACTTTTTCACACATCTGATCAAATTTCCTTAACTGAGATATTCCCACAATTTCTGGATAGATCTCCTGCCTCATCTGATGAAAGTGTAACCTAAGCTTCCAGAGTGGGTTGGCCTAGCCAATTTCTTGAGTCCAATGTAGGGAGGTGCGCAGTGACAAACTCTGTGAAAGCGTCTCCCAGTGGCACTGGCGTAGCTCAGAGAGGAGTGGCAGCCTGCAGCTCCCTGTGCACTATTTGGTTACCATTACCCAGATCTTAGGATCGTTAAGAAATGGAGACTATGGCACATTAAAAGTTCATTTGAAAAGGGAATTGCAGATTTCTTAAAAACAAACCAAAAAAAGCTATCAGACATCTAATTATCATTTTCCCTTTCAAAAAAAAATATTAAAGATAACCTGATTGCAATATCAAAGAAAGCAAAAATGGGGGAAACCTGCATCATTCAACGGAGGCACTGTCAGGCCACTAGATTGCCACGAGGTTGGAGAACCTGTGCCAGATCCAATGCAATGTCTAAGATGTGCCAGATCAATGCACTGCCTAAGAACCAATCATGATCTCTCAGCTAGGCTTCCAGGGAATCCACTTGGGGTCTTGGGAAAGTAGGAATGGAAAGTTATGAATGAAATCAAACTGGCCACTAGCGATCACTTCTTAAAACTGAATGTAGGGCACTGAGATTTATGTTACAGTTCTTTGTATTTTTGTGTATCTTTGAAATTTTTCACAATATACAGCTAGGGAATAGTAGAGGTGAGAAAAATTATAGGAAGTCAACAAAAGCAAACTTACATATCACAAGTACATTCTTTTCTTACAAAGGCAAAGTAGAAATTAACAAAATTACCACACACACACACACACACACACACACACACACACACACACACAAAGACAACATCAAATCAACCATTAGAGTTAAAAATAAAAATAAAGAATCAATCCTAGATAATGCCTGGACCATAATGGAAATAACAAATGCAAATGCAAAATGCGATTCCTAAGTAATCATGAAGTTATGAAAATTACAACTATACATATTAAAACTTGTGGTATTTGCCCTACCTGGAACGGTGGCCCTTGGACTGAAGGGCCCAGGGTTTGATTCTGGTCAAGTGCACATACCTGGGTTGTAGGCTCAATCCTTGGCCCTGGTGGGGGCATGTGTGGGAGTCAACCAATTGATGGGTCTCTTTCACATTGATGTTTCTCTGTCTCTCCCCCTCCTTTCCACTCTCTCTAAAAATCTGGAAAAAATATCCTTGAGTGAGGATTATAAAAACAAACAAACAAAAAAACTACAACTTGTGGAATTTGACTAAGTCTGTACTTAAAGGGAAATTAGTATCATCAAAATGCTATTATTAATTGAGAAGGGAGATTGAAAATAAATGAACCAAGCACTCAGTTACATAAACTAGAAGGATAACAAAGCATAACTAGAAAAAGTATAGAGGGGTATTAAAGAGCTAAAAGGGAAATCAGCCAATTAAAGAAGATAGTCTAATAGAGAAAGCAGAAAGATAGGCAGAAAATGCTAAATCAACTCTTCAACAGGGTGATTTTTAGGAAAATATTTATTGCTAAAATTTACACAATATGAGGCGGAGTATTACAAAAACAAACAAACAAACAAACCAGTAACCAGGGAAGAAACTGAAAAGAGATTTGAAGACTCTAGTTCCTTTGCTACCCTCACACTAGAAGTGCCAGGATTAGATGGCTGTGTATGTGACACCCATCAAATTTTGAAAGACTAGAAAATTATTTTGCTACTTAAAGTTTTCTAGGATATATAATAAATAAGATGAAACTTTTCTGGACTCATTTTGTTTGTAGAATAATTCATATTTTAACAATTCATTAAGCTATTAATCAAAGGAAAAACTGCAGAAACATCTCATTAATGAATATAGATGAAAAATCCAAAACAAAGTAAAGAGGGTTCAAATACAGGAGTATATTAAAAGATTAATACATCCAATATAAGGATATTTATAAGTTTGATTTTTCTTATCTATTCTAATAAAAGGGTAATATGCTAATTAGACCAGATAGACTGGACATCTTCCAGACGTCATTCTGAACATCCTTCCTGACAAAGCTGGGGCCCAGGCAGTGCCGCCCGGGGTCCCAGGTGCCTGCAGTCGGCGGGAAGAAGGAAGCCTGGGTCCTGGGTGCGGGGGCCGAGGCAGAGGTGGTTAGGGGTGATCAGGCAGGCAGGCAGAGTGGTGAGGGGTGATCAGGAAGACAGGCAGGCAAGCGGTTAGGAGCCAGTAGTCCCAGATTGCGAGAGGGATGTCCTGGATTGTGAGACGGTACAGGCCAGGATGAGGAACCCCCTGTCCCCGTGCACAAATTTTGTACACCAGGCCTCTAGTTGATGAATAAAAGGACAAAACACATTCAGTCATTGTAACTCCCCCAAAATACAGTTATTTTAATATTGATTTGAGGAATATCTATTTCTTGTAAAACTTGAAACTGGAAAAACACTGCCTTAACATATACATATTTAATATGTATTTTTCTAATAAATAGTGGATTTAATGACAGTACATTTAAATTGGAGAATAAATAGGGTTTCTCTGTCTGGCTCATAAGTTTGACTGGCCCTGAGACCCACCCATTCTCAGGAGGAAAGCATGCTTGAACAGGGTGGCAATATCCACTCTACGGAGAGTCCCCTGGGCTCTGGCTGGGTGGCTCAGTTGGCTGGAATGTTGTCCAGTTCACCCAAGAAGTGGTGGATTTGACTCCCTGTCAGGGCACATATCCCCTTCCTCTCTCTCTAAAAAAAAAAAAAAAAAAAAAATCAAAATATTCCAGTGGGATTTGTGTGTGTGTCACAAAGTGATTCTAACATTCATCAGGAAGAATAAACAGACAAGACTTGCCAAGAACGTTTTGAATAGAGTCTGAATTTACTTTGATGTACATAAGAATGTACTCTAATGTGATAATAACCCTATAATTGGGCCAATGAAGAGAGGAAGAAAGATATTTAGAATATTGTAATAATGACATTTCAAATTATTAGATAAAAGATGGATTATTTAATGTCTTGTTTGTTATAAGAAAATTCCAGAATTATAGAGAAGTACTTTGTGTAATATGCTATGGTATGATATTAAATACTAGGGGCCCAGTGCACAAATTCATACACCTTTAAAGGAACTGTGGGCCGCAAGGCTGTGGTAGGCACAGGGGTGAGTCTCGGACCATCTTTCATGCCTCCAGCCCGCTCCTCCCACTGTGGCCCAGTCCTCTGTCTGCCAGCAGCTTTGCTCCCACCGCTGCCGCTCCCAGGTGCTGATCATGCCAGCCCCGCTTGTACCTGCTGATGGCACGAAGCAATTGGGGCCAGCACCAGCAGCGGGTGCGAGTGGCGGCTCCTGTGCCAGCAGCAGGTGCAAGCACTGGGCAGGACCACAGCGCATGGGAGTAAAGAATTTTCAGTAACCACCAGAGGCTTGCCCTGATGACAGCGACTGGCACCCACCTTGGTCTGGCACCCTAGCTCACCTGCTCCACTGTCCCACCGTGGCCCACACCCTTTATGTTCTGCGCATGCCCCCTGGTGGCCAGCACACGTCATAGCGACCAGTTGTTCAGTTTTTCCACCATTCGGTCTATTTGCATATTAACTTTTTGTTATATAGGATAATTGCTCTGTTTTTAAGAAAATTACAGAAAGTATTCAGGGTATTTTATTACCAGCAGTGTGATTGTGTTTATTACAATATTCTAATTCACATAAAGAATTTGATCAAGCTTATTTTCTACAGCATTGTGGGTTGGTAATAATAAAAAATAAAAATTAGGTAGCATTTATTCTGTGTCAGGCATTTTTCTAAGCTATTGAGATACATTAACTCATTTAATCATCACAATAATCATCTGAGATTATTATCATTATTTATTATCATTATTATTATTTCCCATTAAATACACAGGCACCTGAGGTACCACAGTCACACATCTAGCAGGTGGGAGAGCTGGGATCAGGTCCCAGTCCGGCTCTGAGTATATACTCACCCCTCCCCTTGGAATGAGCTCTCTGTGTAAACCAGGGCCAGTCGCTTTATTTTAGGCTCATGTGCCTTTTTCTTTCCTCAGGGACCTGATGCCCAGAACCCTGGACGGGCAGATCACCATGGAGAAGACGCCCAGCTACTTCGTGACCCGGGAGGCCCCCGCGCGCATCTCGGCCATGTCCAAGGACACCAAGCTCATCGTGGTGGTGCGCGACCCGGTGACCAGGGCCATCTCGGACTACACGCAGACGCTCTCCAAGCGGCCCGACATCCCCACCTTCGAGAGCTTGACGTTCAAAAACAGGAGCACGGGCCTCATCGACACGTCGTGGAGCGCCATCCAGATCGGCATCTACGCCAAGCACCTGGAGCACTGGCTGCGCCACTTCCCGCTCGGCCAGATGCTCTTCGTGAGCGGCGAGCGGCTCATCAGCGACCCGGCCGGCGAGCTGGGCCGCGTGCAGGACTTCCTGGGCCTCAAGAGGATCATCACCGACAAGCACTTCTACTTCAACAAGACCAAGGGCTTCCCCTGCCTGAAGAAGGCCGAGGGCAGCAGCAAGCCCCACTGCCTGGGCAAGACCAAGGGCCGGACCCACCCCGACATCGACCCCGAGGTGGTGCGGCGGCTGCGCGAGTTCTACCGGCCCTTCAACCGCAAGTTCTACCAGATGACCGGGCACGACTTCGGCTGGGATGGATAACAATGTAATTTAAAAGAAAAAAAAGAATCAAATATAATATATTTTTTTACCAATCGGTAGAGAAAAGGCAGTTTAATATTTGTGCTGAAAATATTTCTTGCAGTAGTTTTTTCAATGACTGTTAAGATTGTCCTCACCTCTGACCCCATCTTCATGTGTTTAACTTACACCAAACATTTGGATAAACAAAAAATGGAAAACTTTACTCATCTAAATACTTTCCATCTTTAATTTTTATTTTGTTTTATATGCATAATTATAAAGTAAGAGCATCAGTTGCCATTAAAACTTTTAAGAGAACTCTGAGGGGAAATCAGTCTCTCTCTCTGGCTTACAAGGCCCAGACAAAATTGATTCCTAGCCTTGTGTATTTCACCCTTTAAGTTTTTTTTTTTTTTCTCCTGTGCCACTTTTCCTAAAACTATTTCCCAACTGATAATACTGTATGGTTTTACACCACTTCAGTTATCACGGTGTTTTTAAAATAAAACATTTTTTGATCCTTATACTACTGTGCGGTACAAGAACATGGTACCTGGAGATCATTATCCCCATTTTACAGATAAGGAAACTTGAGTCTCAGGGAGGTTAAATAACTTATCTTAGGGCCAGATGGTGACTCCTGGACAACCCTTCTTTCACTTGTTCTTTATTACATGCCACTTTTCCCAGGAGAATTGGAAATAAACATCTGTACCTTTAAAATCGGTTAGCCAGGTTGGACACAGGCTCGATGGGACGGAGAGGGTTTCCTCTGGCTTTCTCAGCACCTGGCCAGCCCTCAGCCCTCGGTCACACCACAGTTCACTCCAGGAGAACATCAGACCTGGGCACACACTCTGTTAAGAGCCAATCTCGGTTTGAATGAAGCTGAGAGAAATTACTGGGTTCTTGTATCGAGAACAAGGGGAACAGTCGTGCTGGCAACAAGACAAGGTGTGGTGGGAGCACAACTTACCTATTTGTTCTTTTGACCTGTCCGTCCTATTTTTTTAATTAAGAAAAAGCCATTTCTGTAAGAGCTTACAAGTATGAATCTCCTTTTTATTTATCCCTTTTCTTAACAGAGAAAATCTGCTTCTGTTGGTGATATCTCATTCCTAACCTTGGAGCTGGCACTAAAGATGTATCAATAAACCTCTGCTACCATGCCCTTATTTTTCATGGGTGGAGGACTGTCGACTTTGACACTTTATTTTTTCCCACTTCCTATTCATACCTAGACTAACCTAATACTCATTAATATTTGGAAAATAGTCTCAGAATTGCAGGTGGATAAAAATGGTGGCCTTTTCCTCCTCTCCCATCTGTTTCTGCCAATCCCCCATTGAAACAATTGACAAATAAGTCAATTGTTTATTAAAAGGATTCCTTTCCTCTCCGAGTGAGCAATAACAAGATTAGCATTAATAGGAATTAAATTGGTTTAGAGAGGAGCACATATGCACGAAATATATAAAGCATGTATAATTAGCCTGTTGGCAACATTCTATTACAGGTTTAAACCCAAGAGGAAAGCGTTTCCTATCTCATGGAACTTTCCTGTATCTGGCAGAATTTAAAGGACCAAACACTCTGGTATTCTAAAAGTGCATTCTCTTTCTTCTCCAGTGTTGTCATTCAAAAGAAACTGAAGTTGTTTTGAATATGCAGAACAATTTCCCATTTACCGCAGAGGTTGCATCAAGAAGGAAGTATTTCTTGAGAAGCCTAACACAGGATTAAAAGGAGGGGGAATCATTTAAGTTTCTAGATAGTTCATGATTGCTCCAAGTCTTTGGCTCTATTTATTAATCCCCACCTTTAGGAGTTCAGTAAACCCCAAATCCAGGCCTCTTTTTCCAGGCGACCTCCTTCCCCGCTGTGCCCTCAGCTTTCAGTGCCACAGCCTGTCTTTGTTCCACTAGAATTGCCACTATCAGCAACAAGATACTCATTTCGAACTCTTTATCTGTTTTTCTAAACTCGTTTTGTTTGTGCTTCTGACCCTTTTATAAACATTTGTTTGACATAATGCAAAAGTAGCTTGCAAAAGGAAACAATTGTATTCAGCAATCTTCATCTTTTTTTGTGTTAAGAAAAATAATAATAAAAACAGAACTGAGTGCAAATGATCTCTTCTTGCATGTAGATTATTTTGTTCAGATTACTTTTTTTAAATGAATGACTACACAGCACTCTAGGAAAACCTGACTTCTAAGATTTCATGATGGTGTTAGAAGTTACAGATTCCAGAAAAAAAAAATGTGTAAAGATCTAGAGTCAGAGTACTCGGTTTCCTCCAGAAAAGGACTTTTCCGTACCTACTTCTCTGTGGCACTTACACTTGCTGCGCATGGACTTGGCCTCAGATGTCTCTTTCCATTTAGCCACGCCCAATAGTAGGTTTTGCTGCTCCCACCTGCCTGCCTGCTCCACAGCCTTGCCTGCTGACCGCCTTAACTCTTCCTAAAAGTGAATAATTGTCTCCAGAACAATCAGAGTCCACAGCTTCTTTCTCTGTAGTTTCCTTACGAGGTGACATCTACTGTGTGTAAATTCTCCCAATAACTTAGAAACTATTAAGGGAAATTACTTTTATTCTAATAACCTGGGATTAATGAGCTTCTAGAGAATGGATGTTAAGTACTCTAGGAGTATTAATCCCACTCTAATTTCCCCATTTCCACAAATACTTAAAGTTAGAATAAACCTCAAGGGTCATTTGGATCACATCCCCATTTAGCATTTGTACTCATTCTTGAACTAGGCATGAAAACATTGATGTGTCTGTAAATTCTTAACTCTTGGTTTTGCAGTTGCTAAGAGGATACATTCCCTCTCTGCACATTGCACCTGCTCTGTCAGCTGAGACCTGCCAAATCTGTTACCCATGAAAGTACCTAAATTCCATGTGTGAACAAATACGTCTGTAAGAAATAATACCTTACAGTCAGGTAGCAGACCAACCTCTCGAGTGCAGCATTTCACCGTCAGCCCCCAGCAGCTCTCCACTCTCATGGGCTCCACTTTACCATTGAGGAAACGAATCCTTAAGACAGTGATTCTCAACAAAGGCTGCTTTTGCAACCCAAGGCCACGTGTGGAGGAGATATATGGGTTGTCCCGAAGGTGGTGGCATGTAGGTGCTTCTGGTGGGTGAGTGCCAGGGATGCTGTTAAACATCTCGCCATGCAGAGGCGAGTCCCCATCAGAGTCACCCACCCAACGGCCAGTGGTGCTGAGGCTCCCGGTGGAAGAAGTAAACCCGTCGCAGGTAGTGTGTGTCTGAACCATGTCTACGAACCAGGTTCTAGTGAAGCCTGATGGTAACTCTTCCACTCACCTGTCCGGGTTTTTCTCCTGAGAATCCTTCTCTCTGTGCCTCTGCCCGTGACTGCACCATAATAAACAGATCGGCGTTTCCTGTTGCACTTTGCCAGGAGGAGTTCCAAAGAGAAACAGCAAGGAACTGGGCATTTACGGAGATACAGGAGCAGCTTGTAACACGCAGATAGTTACGTTTCTGTGAAGCAGGATCAGTCGGTTTCAGTTAGAAAATGACCTTCCAAGTAGGCATTCCCAAAGGCCTTTTCAAGTTCAAGTCGTGCAGTTTCGATTTGCCTCCATGACAGTGCTGTGACAGCATTTCTTGTCACCAGACACAACCAAGTGACAAGAGCTAGGCTCCTCTTCGGCTAAGCAGCTGTTCTCAGATGGATGTGCTATGGTTTACGAAATGCCCTGAGTTGCTGAGTAATAGCAAAGGAAGGAGAATTCTCACTGGGACACATTTTCTAGAAACCTGGGAACATAGTATCTAATGACCATAGCATTGGGAGAGAGAAGAGCTTATGGTTCGCAAAGATAGACATGTGGGGCTGAGATTCAATGTAAGTCTTGGTGCAGAATAAAGGGCCCTACCCATCCTCCTCTTGCATCTCAGGGTCACTGAGGGAGAATCTGACTTCAATAACCCAAACATCAGCCCTGTCAGGGAACATCAGCGTGACTGTAGGATTTGTGGTCCTTAAAACACCTTCCTCAGCAGGAAAACAGCTCTGCATTCAGAATCTCAAGTATCTGGGCGGGAAACATGGATGGCGAAAGTGTTACCCTTTTGTCATGGAGTTTGAGAATGGGAGGCCTTTCCTCTTAAAAAAAGGTGAATTTTGGGAAATTTCAAAGCAGTGCACCTTCATACAAAGAGTAGTAAAATAGTGAATTTTTAATTATGCCAGGAGGAAATAAAACTGGAAATAGACATCGCTTCTAATATATGGACCCAATTGCGGCGTATTCAGGATATTTAGTTGGTATGTTTCAGGCTATCAACCTAATTTTCTAGTTTAATTTCTAACTGTTGGTTGTGTCATTTTAATAGCTATATGTCCCACAACCTACTTTCCTCTAGTTTTACTGTCAAATAAAAGGTAACAATAAACTGGGAGCCTACTTTTCATCCCCAAATTCTTGCGTTTGCTACCGTAAGTGCATTCAAAGGATCAGATATGAGAAGTGGCATCTTTGATGGGCTCTGCTGGCTGGGACATGGTAGGCTAGCTTTCTAGCTGGGTGTCAGCTGGTATTTCCTACGAGAGCTTTAAAGTCCCTGTCTGGTCCCCACTGTCACAAACAAAGCCCATGTGTTCTGGTTTCTCCCAAAGCCACTCATAGTAAACCTAGAGTGTTCGCTGTCCCTGGGGTCTCTCTTCCATGGCAAAAGGGAGGGATGTGCCTATCCCCCTCCCACCTCCCATCTCCTTGCTTCTTCCACCTTGTAGTGCCTTCTACCCTGCTGTGTCCAAGGATGCCCGATATCCCAGGCTCTTCTAGCCTAAGTTCTGCCCTCTCTTCAAATGCACCAAACCCAATGGTGTCTACTTCCTACTTCAGATTCCTGGGGAAAGCCTGTAGTCCACCTTGGGCCACTGCCCTCAGCTTCAGCCCTAGGGAAAGCTGTCCAAGTATTTGATGCATGTCCCCAAACTGATGAAGGTCAGATGGGTTTATCTTTCCCCAAGAGTAATTACACTAGGAAAACGGGGCCCCAAGGGAGGGGGGTGAAGTAGAGTAAGAAAGCATGGGGAGCCCGTTTTTGACAGGAGATGGAGGTGCTGTTGGAAGGTAACTTACCACTTCCCCGCCCACCCCTCACCTCTGACCTGAGGAACCAGGGTCGGCCACGGGGCATCTCACTTCGGAAAGATTGTCTGCCTCTGGTCTGGGCAGCGGCGTTTTCTCCACCTGTTTTCCCATAAACCCGTACCTAAGCTTAGGTTTCCGTACTGCAGGCCTGCACCAGCTGGTCAAGCAGAGGACAGGAGGAAGCAGGACAATTGCACAGTCATGTTACTGCAAGTTTTCAGAGAGAACGAGAGAAGCCCCGTTCTCATTCCAGAAGACTTGATCTTCTACCAGATCACATGTGCTTTGTCATGAAAAGTCCAACTCAGTAGCCTATAATAATAATCTTACCGTTAGAGGGAATGGCTCAAAGCACTTTACACCCCACTTAGGTTTGAATAGGTTTTTCCCTTTTTCCTTTCTTTCTAGATACAAAGTGTGTGTCTGCTACAGCTCCTTCCCACCACCACACTTCCTCTCACCTGAGCTACTGACAAACATCTTTCAGCCTCGCCCCTCCACATCATTCTTACTCCCATGCCATTTCTCTTCTGAGGGAATTTTTCCCCTTCAGTATTTTCCTGTATTAAAATCTTTATGCCAAAATGTCATCTTGTGGCTTTAATTTTGTGGTTGTTCTTTTCATTCCTCCTTTCTTGTCAATGTGACTCTTGTTACTTTTTCCCTTTTTGTAACCATCTGGCCCCAGAATGATACCTTATTTTTTATTTCAAAACTCAACCTTTTGTCTACCTTCCTTTACCTCCTGTCCCTTTCCTTAGATTGTGCCCTTACCTCTTAGGAGTCGTTCTCTCTGGAGAAAGTGCCTTCCCCTGGCCTCCAGCATGTGCCTTCTGATGCCCTCTGCCCACTGAGATGCAGCAGTCCTCCGTGAGGTGATTCCACATGCATTGAACTTGTCTGCTCTGCTTCCATCGAGCGGTAAACAATGAGCTCTTTTTCAGACTCTTTGGCCCTTGCTATCTGATGAGGTCATTATTAGAAAGTTCTGTATCAACAAAATAAGCTCTACTCCCCAGAGCCATAGAGAATGAATACACAGAAAAAGTGGAAGCAGATCTGCTTTTCCCAGCCCCACCCTGTCCTCTCACTCAGGCAGCATGTCTCCCACGTGGTAATAATGCCCCCAGATTCCGTTTCCCTCATCGATCCTTCCATGCTGGATCCTGTGTTTCCATCAGTGTGTTCTCTGCTTTTTCATGCCCATTCATTCCAACGACGCTTCCATTATTTAATTGACTCACAGTGCCTGTTTCTCTGGCCTGATCATCATCATTTTTACGATTGCCTTCCTGATTTCTGTTAGCACCACTATGCTGTTTTCTGGTGTCTGCATCTGCTTTCCCTGACACCTACCATCTTCATAAGCAGCCCTTCTTTATTTCCTACATCACTTAAAACTTTTCTCTACACACTGTTTGAGGCCAGAGATATAGCTTTACTGATACATAATATGATTACACAGTCCTTAGATTTACCTACCACCGTGTGTGTGTGCGCACGTGCGTGCGTGTGTGTGTGCGTGTGTATCCTGAAAGGAAACCATAGTTTTTCTATCCATTTTCTTGACTCTACCTTCCATTTTTTTCTTTTTTTAAAAATATATTTTATTGATTTTTTACAGAGAGGAAGGGAGAGGGATAGAGAGTTAGAAACATCGATGAGAGAGAAACATCGATCAGCTGCCTCCTTCACACCCCCCACTGGGAATGTGCCCACAACCCAGGCATGTGCCCTTGACCGGAATTGAACCCGGGACCCTTCAGTCCACAGGCCGACACTCTATCCACTGAGCCAAACCAGTCAGGGTTACCTTCCATTTTTAAATGACATTTGTTCCACTCATCAGCTCTATCTGTGCTTTAATGATGAAAAATCATATTTTGTGGGTAATTTTCTGAATAGTCCTGATTCTACTGGGAATAATGAGGTCTTACATGAATCATTCAGGACCAATGAACCTCGGTTTTCTCATTCATTGAAAAAA